TAAACTTAAAGAAGTCCTTTTTTTATTTTGTAATGGATTCAAAAAGAGAGAATTTCAGCATCACTTTTTTATAGGTTGATTTTCGTATTTATTAGTATTATTACAATATAATATGCATAAGCAGAATAGTTTTCTGATAATAAGAATAAGAAATAATATTTTAGGTAAATATTCTCAGTGTTCATTGTTTCGATGATTGACTGATGCGGCATCGCGCATATGCGCCGCGCAGCACGACGAACCTTCCGTCGAGTTCGTTTTCGGCGCAACGCATGCAGCCGTTGACGACCATCTTGAACTTGACCTCGGTCGCGTGCACACGCGTTTCGAGAGCGTTCTTCCTAAAGTTAAAATGAGCGCATTTTTTAGGCTTGTTAATAGTGTTTTTCATCGTAATCGCGTAGTTTTCCGCGAGTGCTTGCTCGGACATTGGTGAATTCACCGTCCATTATTTTGATATCTCGGTACGATTGTCTAAAAAAAGATCACTTTTTCTTTTCTCCTTCCTATTGCATCACCCCGGAGGAAGGATCACGCACATCTTCGTTGGATTTTCACAGTAAGTAGCACGACTCTTTTTTGCACTCAAACATGATGGAAGTCGAAGTTGATGACCCTCAGATTACCATTGCACTCGAATCTCTGGTCTCGGAAGTGAGTCTTATTACTCTCACTCAAGAAACCTCAAGGAAAAAAAAATAATACAAAAGTAGTATCTTATTTGGCATTATATGACCATAACAGATGCATCAATAGCATTAATGTTAGCATTAAATTAAATATTGTTAACTTAATATTGTTTCAGACTGCACGCAGCAAGCATCGGAACAGCAGCCAATGCTGCTCGCACAAATTCCGCACTAGTCTATCTTCTTTACTTCACATTAGAAAGACAAAGATATAGACTCTGAACTAGCAGCCAATTCATCTCAGTTCAGGAATAAAAAACAGACCTATACTGTTGGGTTTTGGGTGAACAGCATTAACTGCTCCGATGCTTGCTACTTGTTGCGTGCAGTCTCAATTAGGTTTAACTGTGTATATTATTATTCTGTTTTAAGTTGCGTTTAAATTAAATATCAAATATTATTGAGCATTAAAATTCTAATATAATTGTTCGTTTACCATTCCTCCATATGCTAATTAGTTTAAAAAAGTACAAAATTATAAATATAAAATTGAATTATAAAAAAACATGAATTATTATATAAATGCATATTAGTCATAAAATTGTCATATCTTTATGTTTATTTTTATGTTTTACATTTGTGAAAATAATATTCGCTTTTCGAATTTTCAGTTTGTCGTTACATCTAAAGAGAGAGAGAGAGAGAGCATTGCATCTAAAGTCATTACATCTAAGAGAAGAGCTGTTATAATACTATTTCCAGTTTGTCATTACATCTAGAGAGAGAGAGAGAGAGCATTACATCTAAGAGAGCATTGCATCTAAGTCATTACATCTAAGAGCTGTTATATAATACCATTTTTATGAAAGGTAAGACTTTTTCTACTACATATTTGCTTAGTCGCAAAGGTGCATTTTGATCTGTTTTCTATTTGTGCGCATGATCTGATCCAGGCAAATTTACTAGAGCTACATTGCGTTTTTTAATGTCGAATGAGCTGGCTGTGCAGTATTCCTGGTCTGGTCAAAGAAGAACTATTCAATTTAAAAGTACCCTAATTTCTCAACTTATTGTCGGTGTGTAATAAGTATTTTATTTTTTAGTATGTATTTTGACCAAAGTACCAAATCTCTATATTGAACTTTTTTAAAAATATTTTATATTTACTTACAAAATTCTTTAAATTGTTCCAGAAACCGTTTCAAAAGTGAAAAATGCATCTAGAAGCGACATAGAAATATTTATAAAGAAGTGGCTGCAGCACGCTAGCGACCGAATAAAAAATAAGAAATAAATTTTCATAATTCCATAATATATACATATCTACTTTAGGCCTGATTGAACCAACGTTATTTTTAAGCGTTATTTTAAGCTTTAAACGAGACTTTAATGTATTTTTATTTAGAAAGAAAGAGGAAGATTGATACATTATATATATTTAATATTATATATTTAAGTCTCTTGTACGTATGTATGTGAACGTATGAGATACGAATATATTTGGTGTATAATTTACGTCACCGCGCGAAAGCGATTAATATAATATATACAGACGATTGTGCGTTCATCATTTTTCTTCGATTTTTCACAAATTCTAAAATTTGGTTTGATACACTCCGGCGAGTATAACAATATATGTTACAATATATGTTACAATATCATTTATCATTTAATAAAATATATTTTGTCATTTCATTACAAAATTGTATTTTGTGCATTTAGAGCATTCCAATAATCCTAATTTATCCCATATTCGGATCCCAGAAAATGAATAATAATAGAGTTCTATTATAATTCTATTAGAGTATTAGCTAAAAATTATTTTGAATTCATAGCGAATTCTTATAGACTCAAAAAGGAATCCTTTTCGAATCTGAAAAAGAACTCACAAATGGTGACATAAAAGTGAAGTCTTTTGGAATACTTACGAATACTTTTCGAACAGAAATGGGACGAAAAAGGAATTCATTTTATAAATCGGGGATCAAAAAAGAATTCTTTTCGAATTCTCTGTGCTATCTGGGATTTAAAATATTTTGCAACATCTATATTTTTCGAATCCTAATTATAGAAACTTCAGAAGAAGTGATCAATTTAACAAATGTTATACATGTATTAATAATTAAATTTTTAAATAATTAAAAAAATGATTGATTATAGAAATACAGTTAAAAATGTTTTTATCTCACAGCAGGCATTTTGTGTTTTGTAAATAAAAATATATAAATATGACAAGAAACATATAGAGAAATATTTATTTCATCTTTACATTAACATTACATTAATATTATTGGAAGATTTCAGATCTTTCGCGATTGAATAATTTATTTACTACTAATTTATATACATAAGCAATATCTTGCTATACAGCATTAGCGCTACCGGCAGTTCATGCACATAGCACAGAACAAAATCAGAAATTGTGCGCATTATATGTTATCCTTTGAGAACATTCATGGACATTGGCTTTGTAGTTCATGTCCATGTTTTTAATATCCACAGAAGGAGTATCAGGGATCATCTAAAAGCGGTACCATGATACATCTCACAGTCTTTTCTCTGTAGGTAACTAAATCTTTGCAAAATGTTTTAAATGTAACAATAATAAAGCAATAGCTGGATAAAATAAAATATTCACCAATATAAGTATTATTTTTATAAATATTACATAAAATAGATGGAGGCAAAATGAAACATATGATTTTTAAAACGCGTATAAAACAATATATTAGATTACAGTGACAATTCCAGATATCGATGCAATTTTTCGTTAAATAAAAAAAAACTTTTATTAAACTTTTAATTTAATAATTAATAATCATTTAAAAGTTTGTTTAGAATCAAATATAAAAAAAATTATTTTATAAATGAGAAAATATTATTTAATTTAGAAAAGAATTTCATATATAAAGTAATGTCTTTTGTAACATAAGTTAGTCATTGTCTAAAAAAAATTAAATAATTAAGTTTAAATCATTTAGAGATTTAAAATAATATGATTAATAACATTTATAAAAAAATTATTGTAATTAATATTTATTATTTTATTTATTGCACATATTTATGTAATTAATATTTAATATTATATTTATTGTATATCTGTTCTTTCGGGCCATAAATCACATTATATATATCATTTTATATATATAACACATTATATATATCATTTTTAAAATCAAGAAAAATATTTAAAAAATTTTATTTTTATTTTTCTGTTATGAACTTATTTTTTCTCCTATATAACTTAAAATGTAAAAAAATATTATAATGAAATATATAAAAAGTTAGAGAATAATGAGAGAACGCAAAACAAATAAACAATTTAATAGATTTTTTTATATATTCTTAATAAATACATCTTAGAATCTTAGAATATCGGTGATATAATATAAAATAAATATATTACTTTTATAACTTTAAAAAGAGCATCTGATTCATTTTTAAATTCTTGTAAATTATTATACAGATTTCTTTACGAAGAAGGAATTTTTTGGCTGAAAAATTATATGTGTGTGTGTTCTTATTTATAAATAAAATATATTTTTTTCATATTTTTCAACAATTCAGGGGACAACATTATTTCAATATTACAGCTATTATCATCTACATATTTATATAATATTATATATATAATATTATATAATATTATATATATATCTACATATTTATATAATATTATGTAAAAGACTACCTCTCCAAAACATGGGATTCTTATTGAAATTAGTTAGATGGAATATATATATTGTGTCTGATGTTGGCATGTTTAGTACACCTATACGTTTACAGTTGAGTTGAAAAATGTGCGTTTACATGAGTTGAAAATTATACACATAAGTACGCGTTGAAAGTTTGATGGTTTGTGAAATTGTATAAAGAATCCCGATTTTGGTTGCATTGCAAAAGCAATCGTCCAATGTCACTCTGTCACTATTAATAGTATAGTTGATAATTTGTTATAAAATACGTTGCACGCATTAAATATTAGTAAATTTTAATAAAGGAAAAACATCAAATAAAATCCCATGTCTCAAAATATCTTTAACATAATTCTTAAAATATTTATAAAAAGATGTCACACAAAAAGACACTAAATTCTTATTGATTTATATTGAAACGTTCCAGTCTCTGTGAAATGTATGAAGAACAAACAACTCTAACTAAGATATGTCTCTAAAAATTAAGATTTACTTATTTACTTAATCCTAGCGGCAGACGAAGACTATAAAATTTCATTTTTTTGTTATTATAATTTCTAAAGATTTGTTTATAAATCTATTAATAAATTTAATTAGTTAAAATTTATTTATATAGAAAATCTAATATATAAAAGATTTATATTTATAACATTAAATATATTTTTATTTGGAATTATAAATGTAAAGAATGTTTTTAATGACGCTGATTAATTAATTGATTGGTTTTTAATCCTGCTAGGATTAAAGACTTGCTATTAAGGAAAAAAGAACACGATTTAGGATACAATCATTTATCCTTCATTTATATCGTTTATACTCTTGCAAAATAAGTTTAAATAATAATGTTGAATGAATATAAATTGAGCTAGAGAACAGTGTAAATAATATTCAAATATCTTTTTTCATTTAAAAATCTTAATCTGTATTTCCTAAAAGCATATCGAAATTATCGATATGCGTATGCTCGTAGTGGATTTTGTATCTGGCAAGATGTATTCTTTAAGATACTGTAAAACGGTGGTTCCGCCAAAGACGACCAAGCCTTCATCATACAAGCACAATCCATGGCAAGGACGGATGCTGTAATAGAGTTTGTAGTCGTAAACCTTGAACTTATTGCAGTAATCCAGTGTAGTTTCAGTAATCTTAAAATTTCACGAAGTAATATTACAATTAATGAACTTTTTTGCACAAAATATATCTTCAATTTTTAAGTATTTATTCAAATATACATTGTGTATATATGACAAATATTTATGTATTAAAGAGTTAATTAAGAGTTTAACATTTCTTTCTTCTTAGTAATAAATATTTAAAATACAATGGATATTCTTGTGCGACTCGAGATATGAACTATACTTGATATTGCGAAAATGTGGTTAAACGCAATTTACGGTACTTGCCTAGTAGTCGCAACTGGTATTGAATTATGTCTATTATTTCACGTACCTGGCTGGCCGTCAGAATCCGTATGTCATAATGGCTTACTGCTTGGACACCCATGATTCATTCTATATTCCACATAAAGCATTCCACTGTTATGCCAATAATAAAGAGCTAGCACGACCAATGCATGCCACCATTGATGTGACGAACCAACATAGTCTACCCAACCTATGATAAAGGCATATTATTTATTTTGACATATGACAATGTACAGTTATCTTATTATTTAGTGAATTATATCGTAAGAATGCTATTACGATAATCGATAAGGTAATCATTAATAATTACCTGGACAAAAACGTTCGGGTATTTTGAACATGTAGAACGCGAACGCTATTGCATTAATAATGTACATTCCTATCACTCTCGGGATGAGCAAGTTAACGATCGGATTATCAAAGCCGCCCATCGCGATGGTCCAATGCAGCGTTGGCAACACTCCATATATTGCCCAGCACACAAATACAGCTAGCTTAATGTTACCGTTGATGTTTAGACTTGGTATTTGCAGTATCATTGCGAAAATGAAGATCGCGAGAACAGTTATCAGGTAGAACCATTGTAATTCCTATAAAAAATTCATTGATTCGAAATCAGCTTAATTTATCGATCGCGTTAACATAATATGGAATTATAGAAATATTTTAAATATTTTTTAAATATTCAAATACAAATGATATATAATATATATATATATATTATTTAATATAATGTATTATATATATATATATATATATATATATTTATTATTTAATATAATGTATTATATATATATATATATATATATATATATATATATATTTATAATAAATTTTTTTAAATACCTAAAATTTTGCATGAGATTGTTGATATAATATTTATTAGATAAAAATTATATGCACGCTTTACCTTGTGACACCAAAAGGCATAATAGACACCAGACAAATAGATCGACAGCATGCTCAGAGCAATACCGAACAAATCGAAGGATAGGAAGCACCAATAGTCCTTTTCGCTTCGACACGAAAACGTGTGATATACGGATGAAAGGATCATACATATCTAAAGGCAATTTTATTTATTCATTTTGCTATATACGTTTTACAACGAAAATATTTTTTTTTACATTCTATAGATTTTCTTACCTGAAAACAAAGAAGGAGCAGGGACACGATTAATTTGTCGCTGAACGGCGCGTGAATATTCAAAAGACAGAGATCATATAGGGTCAGACCGAAGAAGAGCATCCAACCAAAGATGTGACTCCATATATTCACGGTCTCGTTTGTCCACCAAAATATGCTACAAAACGCAATGTTTCCGTGAAAAAGCGCATGCTGTTGTCCGCATCGAAATATGTATGTATGTATGTCCATTATCTTCGAAGCCCGTTTATTACACATTTATGAGTTAAGGAACATTAAACTCAACCTTTCGACGCATAGTTTGGTGGTCAAGCAGCCTCGATAACCACGCAGAATGTAAGGATTATATTGAAGAAATTTGGGTGCCTTTTCAAACGGGAGCAATCGTCTCATATCTTCTTCCTCTTCCGGTACAACTTTTTTCTTGGCTGTTGATTTGTCGCATACCTATTCGAAAACGGAAAATTTAAACATACGTGTATATATATATATATATATATATATATATATATAATATATATATATATATATATATATTCTTCAATATGTCCCAACATGAAATCAAAGGAAAATATCTAAAGTTTTAAACGTTTATTTTGTACGATGTTTTCCAAACTTTTATGTTGGAGTTTTATGTTGGACTTTTATGTTCAGATAGTAATGTGTGCGTTTAATATATATATATATATATATATATATATACATATATATAATAATTTAATATAATATATTATAGTATATATTAAAAGACTTAATAAATTTTTTTAAAAGCTTTAAAATTGCTATTAGAAAGTAAAATCTTGAATGAATATATTTTCAGTATATACATATTAATGATTAGATTGAATATTCTGTCTTTCAAGTTATCAAAGGAAAATTATTCGCGAGCTCTTTGTTCACAGCTTATCGCAGAAGTTATAAAATCATATATAGAATACTTATGTAAGCTCTAGTTTTACAACTTTTACAACTGCAAATATTATAATAATGTATTACATGAATTATATAAAGAAAGTTTCCATAAATCAGACAAAAATAATATAAATTAATCATTTTCATGGAAAAATATAAGTTAAATATTATATATATATATATATATATATATATATATATATATATATATATACAAGGTTGGGAAGTAATGCGTTACTTGTAACGCCATTACCATGATAGTTACTATTTTTGATAACGAACTGGTAACGGCGTACATTTTTTTTTGTAACTGTAACGATAACGTAGTTACAGTTTTTTAGTAATGATAACGAAATAAAGTTGTCCAGAATTGCCGTTTAAAATCAGGGAAAATCATCAGCACGACACATTTTTACTAAGTGTATATATATATATATATTATATATATATATATATATATATATATATAATGTGTATTTATTATGTATGTACTTTTTATTTTAGTTAGGATCTTTATCTCTAATACAGTATAACAAGGAGAACATCAGACAGTGGAATCACCGATTTCGCTGAACTTAATATATATTATAGTTCCATCCTCCCACTAATTCGTCGTAAAGTAACACAATGTAAGAGAAAAACGCGAATATTTGAGAGGTTTAAAAATTTACGTACTTGTTATCTATCGAACAGTAAGGCGCCTGATGGGTACGCTGCGTGTCTCGTTTAAATTTTAAATCTTACTTTTGAATTTTTTTTTATCTACATTGAAGCGAATTACTATATATTTTTATTATTTTAACAAATTAATTTAATTATAAAATTATTACATTTAAAACTCATTGATTTTATTTGCTATGCAATGAGAAGTAATAATTATGAATAATAATCATTGTTAATCAGTAAGTCATTGTTTTTTATACAATAAACATTATTTAATTAAAATTTATTTGCTATGCAAAAAATTTTTAATTATTTTTTTATTTTCGCCACGATTTTTTGTTCTTGTATTATTAAATATATATTAATAAATAGAAAGTTCCCTTCGTAATAAAGGTATCTTATTATGTGCTTCTTAGTAAGAATATCTGTGAGTAAGGATATCTATGTTATTGTGTGATGTTCACTAATCTATCTAAACTTGATCTAATCAAAAGATGTTTTTTTTTGTGACTGGGGTCCTTGCAACGGTTTTTAGACGTTGAGTTCATTCGAATTGATCAAGAGCTAGTTCGGAACATCGTATGCAAAAAAAAGATTTAAAAAAAATGCAAGAACCAAGTACCAATGAAAACGTAGAATCATCAAAACCCCGAATCGTCGAGCCTCCGGAAGAATGATGATATAGAAAATTCATTAACTAATACTTTAATATATTGCAAGAATTTGCTGGAAGCAAAAAATCTATTAACAGATACACCGTCAGTAATATTTGCGTATAAAACAATTACACATTACATTGAACAATAATGTATTGAACAGAATAAGAAATAATATTCTAGTTTCTTTTTTATCTACGGCACGTAATCGAATCGAGATTTCATAATAAGTATGTATCTATTAAAGGAAAAGAACGCGTCGTAGCACTCATAATATTCTGAACAATACGAATACTTCATTGCTTTCATTCGTTGCATTCCTCAACAATGTTAAACTGTCTCACCAACAATGGATTGTGATTGATTTTACGATGTACAATAAGTTTCTTTTTTAATCTGACTTAATTATTTATAATTTTGACTTATATAAATTCTTTCCATTTCTAAATTATTTTTTGCATAATTAGATAATATAGAAATAGAGCTAAAATTCTCTATCTCTCTCGTGCGTCCAATATTATTCTATAGAGAAAAAAATAGTTGCATAAATTGCAAGAATATTCAATTATATGTATTTCAAAAGTATAAATCTAATGTATAGAATTTCAATCTAAAAAAAAATTAATATCGAAAAGTATCGATTTGATTAAATAATAAATTTAAAACTTATCCAATATTAATTCGATTATTTATCTGTTAATTAGAAAAGATCCTTATGATTAATATCATGTTGAAAACACAAAATCATCGAAAGTAAATTGAAGATGTCTCGAGAAAGCGAACGTTAAAACATCCCCAGTAATTCGCAAAAGATTGTAGACGAGGATGTAGATAAAGAACGTTTAGTATTACTAACATCTTTCGAAGAATAACAAATCGGTAAGTAGGCCCACAACGGGACCTGCCTTTCATCCGTTGTGCAAGTTTACGTCTTGCTGTTCCTCTCCGGGCCGCAGAGTTCATTAACTAGCGAATCGATTCTCGTCGTTGCATTTGGCAATATCCATTGCGATTAGAACGTTATCGTATTGCGGCTAAAAGAATAATGATCGAATATCAGATTTTGCGGGAATATAATTTAAAGGACAATATGCTTTTTTCATGTAGATACTCCTGATAGATACTCACTGAATAATTACGGTCAATTGTCTTTAATCCTATCGTGACTTTGTAATCTAGTAATCTAGCACATGTAATGCATTTCTACTTAAACCACAAATATTAATGTTTTATTTATTTGCAAAATAAAAATTATTTATTATT